TATAGCGAGGACGAACAAAGCTATATCGAGCATGTCCGTAAGGTACTTTAACGACTCCGGGATACTAACCTCCCCCTCGACTTTAATAAGTACAGGTTCTTCGTAAAAGAGGTCTGTTACGTAGGCATTATTATTACTACTAAAGGACTTCGTATAGACCCCGAAAAGGTATCTGCGATTATAGAATAGAGTACTCCTACCTACCTTAAAGACGTACAAGCGTTCTTAGGTCTAGCAAACTTCTACCGCCGGTTTATAAAGGACTACTCTATTATTGCTTTCCCTTTAACCTCCTTGTTACGCGGACAAAAGAAACCTAGTTACAAATTCTAATAGACCCCCGAATGTTAAGCGTCCTTCGAGTCTCTAAAGTAGGCTTTCACTATAGCACCGGTACTAGTATACTACGACCCGTATAAGCCTTGCGTAGTAGAAACTAATGCGTCCGATCGCGTTACCGTAGGAGTACTCTCCTAGGAGAACTCTTCTAACGGACTACTATATCCGGTAGCCTTCTTCTCGAAGAAGATAAACCCTACCGAATACAACTATGAGATTTACGATAAAGAGCTTATAGCAATCGTTAGAGCATTCGAAGAATAGAGACTAGAGCTTATCTATAGCCTGCCTAGTAAACCGACTCGAGTTATTACCGACTATAAGAGCTTAGAGTACTTTATAACGATAAAGCAACTCAATCGCAGATAAGCTAGATAGTCGGAGTTCTTATCGGAATTTGATTTTAAGATTGAGTATAGACCGGGCAAGCAAGGTAGCAAACTAGATAGCCTTACTCGGCGTACCTAAGACATAGATCCGAAAGATAACGAGACTAATCGCAACTAAGCCCTATTAAAGCCTTACCAACTTACTAAAGAGCTAAGGCAATTAATAGGCCTATTATCGTTAAATCTCTACGCTCTGTTAATAGAAGCTAAGCCGCCGAGATCCTAAGCTACTAACGTACTCGCCTAAAGACAAGCAGCTATTAAGATACTAGGCTCTAATAAACCGCTTAACGAGCTTATATTCGCAGCGTATAAGAACGATAATCTTGCTACGCTTATCGTAGACTCCCTTAAGCGGAAGCTCAATCGCCTACTAAGCTCTACGGACAAGTTAGGAGGTGCTAAGATTAACCTGTCCGAATATCGCATAGAGGATGACCGTAGCACAATCTACGTTAAAGACAAGCTCTATATTCTAGCAACCGAGGAACTTCGGACGGAGATCCTTAAGCACTTTTACGACGCACTATTAGCTAGCCATCCTAGTAGAGACCGGACCTACGATCTCGTTCAACGCGGCTACTTCTAGCCTAGAATGTACGACGATATCTAGAAGTACGTTAGAGGGTGCCGAACCTACGCGAGATCGAAGGCTTCTAGAGAAGCGTATTAGGGCAAACTGCAACAACTCCCTATACCTACGTACGCCTTTAAGGACATTGCGCTAGACTATATCGTCGCTCTACCGGATAGCGAGTTAGATAGAGTTATATACAACAATATCCTTACCGTTACTTGTCGCCTAACTAAGAGGAAATTCTTTATCCCGGTAAAAGACCTTACTCTATAAACCGCAGCAGAAGCAATCTACCGCTACCTTATTAAGGACTAAGGACAGTTTAAAAGCGCAGTGTCCGACCGCGGAAGCTAGTTTCTTAATATGTTTTTCCGACGTCTAAGCGAACTTACTAGAGTTAAGCAGCACTATTCTACCGCCTTCTATCCGTAGACTAATAGGCAGTTAGAACGTACTAACTAAGTCCTTAAAGTTTATCTTCGAGCTTACGTTAATTATATATAGAATAACTAGGCTAGATAGTTATAGAGCGCCGAGTTCGCAGCTAACAACGTAAAGAACGAGAGCACTAGAGTATCGCCCTTTTTCGTAATACTAGGTCGCAATCCGCGTATAGAAATACGTTATATGCCTCGCTAAGAATTACGTATTAAGCCTACAGATGCTAAGCAACGGATTTCGATAGTATAAGCGGAAGCTTTCGCCGTAGAACTCTAAACTATCTAATAACACTATCGCGACAGTATTACTATAGCGCAAGCACGGTATAAGAAGTACGACAAATCGTAAGCGGCGCGCACCTACCGTATCGGCGACCGCGTATAGCTAGATGCCCGTAATATCCGCACTAGAGGTAGAGCTAAGAAATTAGACTATAAGAAGATAGGGCCGTATCCGATTTAGTAGGTATTAGGCACTAACGTATACAGATTGGACCTCGGACCTCGCGCGCAAATATACGACGTCTTCTATACTAACCTATTACGCCCGCTCGCTGCCGAGGACCGATATAACGATATACCGCCGCCTAATCTAGTAGATAGAGAGGAGAAATTTAAGGTTGAAGAGATCGTAGATAGCTACCGTAAGGGTAGGAAGCTTAAGAGGTTAGGCAATAAGCAGCAATTGTACTATAAGGTTAAATAGGTTAGCGATAATAAATTATAGGAATATAAGGAAGAGGAGATTATACGCGATATAGCAGACGTAGTAGCGGACTTCTATTATAGGAACCCTAAGGCTCCGAAGCTATATAGGTACAAGCCGCTAGAGGGATAGTTACCTAAAGAAGGCACTAAAGAGCTCGTTATTAGATAAACCTGCCGACTAAAGGATAATAGATATACGTCGGATAATAGATAGTCCTCGCCTAGTCCCCTAGTACGAAAGAAGATCACCCCTAATTAGCGCTATCGTAGACCGATGCTTTCGCGTTCTACTAGATAACCGATGCTTTCGCGATTATCTACGCTAGCCGATGCTTTCGCGCTAGCGGTTACTTGCTTTACGTACCTTCTCGAGTCGACTATAGTAGATACCCTAGATCCGAGTAAACGTATTGCCTACTATATTACATTAGAAGGAGCTTAGTGACTACGTCGTTACTGCCGCGGTCGGTATAACGACTTAATAGACATAATACCGGACATTAGTATATACGCTTCCGGCGTAAACGCACTTTAAACGAGGGGATGTGTTATAGTGCTAGCTGTCGAGGCTACCTAAGGCACTAAGTAGGGTAGATAGGAGCGTGCCTTTTACGCTTCCTTCCCTCGTTACAGACAGTTTAACAATCTAATCACGTGACACCTACCTCGCTGCCCTCTCGCCCGTGTTACTAATCGGATAATCTATAGTATTATACTACTATTCCGGATCGTTATAAGGTATTAAGCTAGTATAGAGATAGCTATCCGGCTAGTAATACCTATATAGATCTAGATAATATAACGCGAGTAAGTACTACTAATCGCTACGTAGATCTATATTCCCTAATACTCGAATTTATAGTAAGTATCTATTAATATTACGTAACGAGGGCTAGGTATAATAATTACTCTATAGTACTCTCGCGCCTACTTATAGTAGACTCGTAATTCTTTAGGATCTAGTAAGGAAGCTATATAATATAGCGGATCTCTACTAATAATATTATATTTAGACCTAATATAGGTATATAGATACTATCGGCTAAAGGACTCTACTATAGACTTCTCGAGCTCTTTCTATAAGATCTCTACTATCTACTCTATCTATCTATTAGTAATGCCTTCTTTAATCTAAGCTCTTAACGTATCTATTAATATCTCTATAAGCGAATCTTAAACCTATCTATCTATAGTACTCGAACCGCCTCTTTATTAGTAAACTATAGAATATAGAAGATATATACGATCCGGATCTTTAGTATCTCGATATCCTTAACGTAGTAATAGTAAGTATACTAGCTATAATTAATATTCTACTCTTTAAGCCTTCGCTTAAGTATATTAAGGGATATCTAATAACTAGTCTCCTATATAAGGTACTATACGATTACTTCTTATATAGTACCGCTATTAGGTCTAAAGAGACTATACGTAATTAGTATATAACTAGGCCGAGTAAGGCTAGGGTCTCGATGCCTTAGATAGGGCTTAGCGCTTAGCGTTAGGCTAACTTACCTACCTTCCTCTCTCTCCTCTTAGATTCTTATCGAATACTACTATACCTACTACTATCCTATCTACCTACTAATATAACCCTTCTTATAACCGCTATAGACTTAAGATATTATCTAAGCCTTCTATAGTAATAAACTAATACGTAGAGGCCTTAGGCATTCTACGAGTCGATAGCGAGTATAGTACGAGTCCTAGAAGGTTTTATATAAGAAAATTAGGTAGTTATAGCGGTAAGAAGTGTAAGAAACCCCGCATCGAGCCTCTAGTATATATAGGCCTCCCTAGTTAGTGCGACGACAGCGGAGAAGAAAGTGACGTTCCGCAGCAGTGGTGGGGGGCCAGGGTCAAGGGTTGTACCCACATGCACATAAGCTGTCGCCCGCCCATCAATGCGATCAATGCGTGCTTGCGTGGTTGGTGAAGGATCGCGATCAGCATCAGCAGCAGCTGCTGTGCATCACCACAGCGTCGACCGCCAACGCCAACGCCAACGCCAACGCTCACGCCCGCACTCTGCACGCCCAGCGCCGCCTCGGCGCCAATACTACTGTACTCAATTGCTTCGCTCGCTTCGGCAGAGCGGCGGAGAGTCGGAGACATATATACCTTGCAGCATATCGCGACATCTGACGTCGCGCCGAGAAATACATGCCCACCAAACGCCTCCAAGGCTCCATCGGATCGGCACTGCGCTTGGCACACCTTGACCGCGCGACAAGAGAGGCTTGACATTCTTCGCTGAATTCTTGTCCTCCTTCATCACTCTTGCTCTGCTCCGCTCTGCTCTGCCACGCCACCACTCCATCTCGCCATCTGGGCCACTTCGCGAGCCGCGACTGCGCGCCACCACTGTCCTGCATGCATGCATTCAACCACTGTCTCACACTCTTCTTTCGACCGACGCCAGGCCGACGCCGCCCAGACCTTCGACGTCCGACCGGCTCGCTAGCTGCCACGAACAGATACGAACAGGAGTCAAGAGTTATCAATACACTTCCCTAAGTAGAGAGCGATCGCTATACATCCTTCGCCATGGCTTGGGACCAGTTGTCCGTCAACAGGCCTCACCTGGTCTACATCATCCTGGGTGGCTTCACGAGTCTGTTCATGCTGTGCTCGTCTGTCATCAAGGAGAGGTTGTACATTGGTGAGGCTACAGTGGCCACGATTTGCGGTATCATTTTCGGTCCGCACGCCGCAAATCTGATCGATCCAGGAACATGGGGGAATGTCGACCAGATCACTCTTGAATTCTCGCGTATTGTCCTTGTGGTACAGTGTTTCGCTGTGGGCGTCGAATTGCCAAAGGCTTACATGGAGCGCCATTGGCGATCAGTCACTTTTCTCCTGATCCCAGTCATGACCTTCGGCTGGCTGATGACCAGCTTGTTCGTGTGGGCACTCTTTTACCAACATTTGAGCTGGCTCGAGAGCTTGGCGCTTGCAGCTTGCGTTACCGCTACCGACCCCGTTCTGGCCTCTTCGGTTGTTGGAAAAGGCAAGTTTGCAAAGCGAGTGCCTAAGCATCTGCGAGATCTGCTTTCCGCAGAATCTGGCTGCAACGATGGTATGGCATTTCCCTTCATTTACTTGGCTTTGTACATCATCAACTACAGGCCGCACGCTGGCGAAGTCGTCTATCATTGGTTTTGCTACACCATCCTGTACGAGTGTGTCTTTGGCGCTTTCTATGGCGTCTGTATTGGCTACATCGCACGTCGTGCTATTCGCGCTGCTCATGAGCGTGACCTCATCGACCGAGAATCATTTCTGGTCTTCTACTTCGTCTTGGCCCTGTTCTGCGCCGGCTCCGGTTCCATCCTTGGCTTGGACGATCTTCTGGTGGGCTTTGCCTGCGGTGTCGGATTCAGTAACGACGGATGGTTTACTGAGAAGACGGAGGAATCGCACGTGTCCAATGTTATCGACTTGCTGATAAACTTGGCATTCTTCGTATACTTTGGAACCATCATTCCCTGGGAGCAATACAACTCTGGCAACCTTGGACTCGATGTTTGGAGGCTTGTTGTTATCGCAATTCTGGTATTGCTATTCAGGCGCATCCCCATCATGCTGCTACTCAAGCCAGTTATTCCTGACATCAAAACTTGGAGAGAAGCACTATTTGCCGGCCATTTTGGCCCAATCGGAGTCGGGGCCATTTTCGTCGCCATTCTCGCAAGGGCCGAGCTCGAGACAGACACAACAACACCACTCAAAGCCCTTCCTCCGGAAAGTACACCGGAATATAACGTCATATATACGATCTGGCCGGTGACTACATTCCTGGTCATTTGCTCAATCGTTGTTCATGGATCATCGATTGCCGTTTTCACGCTAGGAAAACACATAAACACCCTCACTCTGACCATGTCATACACGAAGGGCAACGAGGAAGGCATCAATTGGACAGACCGTCTTCCTCGCATTCAATCGCGCTCCAAGAGCTCAATGTCTATGCAGTCACTCGACGAGAAGTCAACTCCGAGCGGTATGCCTATCGCTCCTGGTGTGCCTTTCTTGAGGCGACAGAGGGAGGAAGATAACCCAAGTCGTACGCAAAGCCGAGCATCTTCCAGACACAGGTCAAAGAAGTCCAAGAGTTGGGAATATGGGCGTGGTCCAGGTGGCCCAGTCAGTGAATCTGCCATAAAGCCTCTCTCGCGTAGAGAACGAGATGAAGTGGAACAGTCTGAAAGCCCATGGACTCGAAGCGACTCAGACACGTTGGCCGTCAAGAGCGATCCGCCCTCGGATGAGAAGGACTCTTCCCCAGAGGAAGATCGCGACGCCAGCGCTGGCGAGATCTATGAAGAAGGGAAAGCAACTGTGTTTGAAGATGATGAAGGCAATGTGCTGGCCGTTGAGCAGAGTCGAGGACAGCAAGGATCCAGAAAGCGAGAGGAACGCGAGACTCGTGAGGGACGGAGGCTAATGCGGAAAGAGCATGCCGATCTGAACGCTGGTGTTGCTACTACCAAAGATGATCCAAATAGTGACCCAGGCCACGAAGCCGCAGAGGAAGTCAAGAAAATCGAGAGCGAAGGCAAAGAGGAGCTCGAGAAGCTCGAGAGGCCCGGCAAAGGTTGGCGTTCAGGACTGAACAAGATGACTTCTATGACTGGCGAGGCTGTGCGTAAACGACGGGCAGAGAAGCCCCCGAAGGAAGAAGAGAAGAAGGCATCAGGGGGTCCTGCTCGTGCCTACCAATATGGCAACACTATCATTGTTGAAGACGAAGATGGCGAAGTCATCAAGAAATACGACATCCCTGCACCGGATCGAAAGCAAAGCACTGCCGGAGAGACTGAAAAGGCAAGACAACGAATTGGCACCATGGGTAAAATGCTTGGTCTTGGTCATAAGGAGGGCAAGGTCGAGCCAGGCGCTCCAGGTCCTTCCACAGCAAGCCCTCCCAGTGGCCCAGCGGACAAGAAACCCACCGCTAGCAATGATGATGATGCTGATGATGATGAACGTGTGCGCTTCACTATCACCACTGGGGGTAGGCGTATGAGCAAAGCCGATTTCATCAGTCACATCCAAGGCATGGATCCGAAGACGCGTGTTCAAGCAGTGGAGAACAGCGATGCACCCGAGACCGTGAAGCGGGAAGCGAGAAAAGAGACTCGTGATTATGCCCAGATTCAGCAAGGTTATGGAAAGCAACTGCGTGGATCTGTGCCAGTGGTTCATGAGCATCCGGAGACTGGAGAGGAACAGGAAGGGACGGTCGCGATCGAGCGAGCTGACACCAACGACTCCAACAAGCTTCAGCTCATCTCGAGTGGCCAAGAGGTCCCATTCCACGACCTTCGGTCAGACATCGGTAAACGTCGCAAGCAACAGTCAGACGAGGGTGAGACTGCAGCAGAGCGACGCAGAAGATTAGCGCTGGAACGTCAGACCACAGAAGAGGACTCGGACGATGATGGGACGGAACGCGTGCCGCCAAAGGCCTCGAGCTCGACTTCACATAAACACTCTCGCAATATCAGCGAAGGTGAAACAGCAGCCGAGCGACGAAGGAGAGAGGGCGCTTTAGGTATCACGAGGGAGGCGGATAGTGATTCCGAAGAATCTGATTCGCCGAGACAGCCGACACCACGGCAGAACATTCGTTTTGCGGACCAGCCGCAACCGCAATCACAGGACCAGCAACAAAGGCCTAGGCAGAGTGCTTTGAGATGGGGCCAGGATAGAGGTAGGGAACGATAGACGGTTGTAATGAGCTTGATGTCTGGGCGGGATTAATTACTTGCGCTGTCATTTATTCATGCATAGCGCAGGCAGCATTCGGCGAGCAATGTACATATGGGATATTTGTTGAAGTTGCATAGTGATACCAGTGATAATGGCTTATTCGTTAGCAAATCGAGTACCGTGTCATTTCCAGTTTGAATTCGCAAAAAGTCCTTCAGCTGATCTAGTGGAATGAGAGGAACGTAGATGTGTGTGTGTGTGGGGTGTGTGTGTGTGTGTGTGCTCATCCATTCATCTATGAGTGAAATCTTCTATAGCCCAGTAATGTCTATCTATACCCATGACCATACCTTTTCGTGCCTCCATCTCACGAGCCTCACTGCGCAGAAATCCCCGGCGGAGGCTGCAACTTGTCAGGGAAAGCAGATGTACCCAGATTGCTCTTGCACTCTGCTTTCCAATCCATGGGTGTAATCATGTCCGCGGCCTCCTTGAACGCAGCAAGAGTGCAAAAGCTCTCGTCGCCCTCTAAATGTCGGCCGGGAGATTTACAGAAGGGCAAATTCACAGGCTTGTCATTGTAGCGTAGACGGACAAAGTGTCCGTCGAGTTTCTGTCTCGTGGATTGTGGCATGCTTGCCAGCGGTTCACGGGCAGCGACGTCTGCTGGAACTTTTGGTGGAGACATGAGCGAGTACCACCATGACTTCTCTTTGCTGGGCCACACTGCACCAGCAGGTGAGGCGGCGTCTTTAGACTTGAAGAGTTCGAAAGCAATTGACGAAGTGAAATTCGGCCACTTATCTTTCTCATGATGGAAAGCGCCTAGGGCTGCCAAGGTGGCTGCGATTGTGGTGTCGTGGCAGCCAGAAAGGCCCATCTTCAGCGGCCTATCTTGCCCTTCGTTGGGATGGCCAATAGTGTGCTCGACCATTCGTAGGGTCAGATCAGCTAGAAGGGCACCAATGCCAAGCTTGCGGTACTCGTTGGTCTCTTGATAGCCGGCGAACCATTCTTCCACGCAAATTCTGTCAATGTTGGCACGCACAGTCTCGTCGTAGAATTCTGATGGCAGTCGGGTAGCCTGACCATGGGCAAGAGTGGCATTGATGGTATCCATGAGTCCAGATAACCTTGGATGTGAGTCAACTTTGGCGACAGGACTGTCCTTGGGCATCCATTTCCCGACCTTCTTGTTGATATACTTCATCTCCGGAGAGTCGTTCCACAGCTTCGCGGCGCGGTCTGCGAACTGATGTGACAGTTCTGCGAATCTTGCACAGCCTCCTTCGTTTGGGAAGAGAGTCTCATCTTGCATTGACCTCTGCACGATAGCAGGCGGCAGCATGCCCGGTGATCGCGAGGCAGATGGATACAAGCCGGTAAAGGCTTGCTGCACGCTCTCCAACGCACGTTGGATCAGGGTAGCTCTGAGGCTGACTTGCGCGGCCGACTGCTCGTCCAAGCATTTGGGCAGGAATGCTAGCTGGTTGACGTAGAGCGTGCGCATGCGCTGGCCGAGAGCCAGAGTGGTCTCGCGACCTCTGTCAGTGAGCTCGCCGGGCAGGCAAACTCCGTCCACCTCGCTATGAGGTCCCGTAGCCAACTTGGGCGTGTCGTTCGAAGCGAACGTCTCCAGTCGCCTCTTCCATGCAAGCGAGTCCCACGAGCCATCAGCAGCAAGAATCGCTGCCTTGAGCTGGTGTGCTGCACTGCAGTAAGGCCATGTGCCGTGCAGGCCAGCATTCTTGAAGCGAGCGGAGACGGGCGTCCGCTCTCCGTGGCGAAGGATGATCTGGACTTGCTGCAATTCGAGGGTGGAGGGATAGAGGTGCTTCAGCTCGTCCTCGCTGTACGGCGGTCGTGGCTGGAGAGTGGTCATGTCGGCGGCGACGGAGACACTCCTCTGATCGGCAGAGGCGGCCTCAACTTGGTATCATCGCTCCGGAAGCAGGCGAGCAAACGTATGGGCGCCGGTGTAGATTGTGCTGGTCAAGATGTGATTCCGGCGATCGAGACTTTTCCACGTAAGCACGTGCAGACAGGCAAACATAGGGAGGCCTATACATACCAGAGGCTCAATGCGGGGTTTCTTATACCTCTTACCGCTATTACTACCTAATTCTTCGTGTTTGACCTTCTACGACTCGTAATATACTCGCTATTAACTCGTAGAATGCCTCTATATATCGATTTATCGCTATAGAAGGCTTAGATAATATCTTAAGTTTATAGTAGTACTATACGGGAAGCAATCGTATAGTACCTTATATAGGAGACCGGTTGTTAGATATCCCTTAATATACTTAAACGAAGGCTTAAAGAGTAGAATATTAATTATAGCTACTCTACTTACTATTACCGAGTTAACGATATTAAGGTACTAAAGATCCGGATCGTATATACCTTCTACGTTCTACGGTTAACTAATAAAGAGGCGGTTCGAGTACTATAGGCAGATAGGTTTAAGATTAGCTAGCGGAGGTATTAACGGATACGTTAAGAGCTTAGATTAAAGAAGGCATTATTAATAGATAGATAGATAGAAGCGGAAGAATAGATAGTAGAGGTCTTATAGGAAGAGCTCGAGAAGTCTATAGTAGAGTCCTTTAGCCGATAGTACCTATATACCTATATTAGGTCTAAATATAATATTATTAGTAGAGATCGGCTATATCGTATAGCTTCCTTACTAAATCCTAAAGGGTTACGAGTCCGCCGCGAGCGGGCGCGAAAGTACTATAGAGCGATTATTATACCCGGCCCTAGTTACGTAATATTAATAGATACTTACTATAAATTCGAGTATTAGGGAATATAGATCTACGTAGCGATTAATATTTACTCGCGTTATATTATCTAGATCTATATAGGTATTACTAGCCGGATAGCTGTCTCTATACTAGCTTAATACCTTATAACGATCCGGAATAGTAGTATAATACTATAGATTATTCGATTAGACCGTAGGGTAGAAACGATTCTAGCCGCGGACGCTTACTATAAGACTCGCCTTACGACTCGTAGTAACCTAGAATAAGAACAACCGCTCGCCTTCGAGGACTGCTTTAAATGCGGTACGAGTAAGATAAACTAGCGGATTAAGGTATAGTAGCGTTAGTAAGTACCTATACTAAATAGCTAGAGAGGCTATTTCTACAAGTTACTACGCGAGTTACTATACGATACTAAATTGCTAGCGGATCGGATTGCCTTCCTTGCAATCTATATACTAATTATACGTTATAAAGTCCTCGAATTTGTTTACCTCTAGAATAGCTATCGTATCCGGAAGTAGGCTAATCGACTATACGTTATACTAGGTATTCCGTATATTCTATACTATTATCTAGAGCTTAGCGGGCATTCTTATTAAGGTATTCCTATGCCTAATAGTATACTTAATAATATAGAGTAAGACCTTTAAGGATTCGGTATATATTAGATTCTATAGTATAGACTCGCTATAGACTCGTATTAGGACTAAAGAGGTTATACGTAATTAGTATATAACTAGGCTTAAGTAAAGCTAGGGTCTTAGTACCTTAGGTAGGGCTTAGCGCTTAGCGTTAGGCTAACTTGCCTACCTTCCTCCCTCTTCTCTTAGATCTCTATCGAATACTATACTAATTTACTACTATCCTATCTACCTGCTAATATAACCCTTCTTATATAGTATTCGATCTACCCTTTAAGGGCAGTAGCTAGATAGACCTTATTTTAAGCTTTTAGCGGTATAGCTACGAAAACCGATCTAACTATATTACGCCCGAAGAACAGGACCTATACGTACTATTCTATTAAAAATAACCGTACTAATTATTAAGCAAGGCCTTCTATACGGCCTATTATACTAAATCAATCGCACTAAGCCGATATCTACTAATTCCGCTATATCCGTATCTTAGGGGCCTATAATATATTATCGGTGCTACCTCTTATTATAATAGCCGGCTTATTACGAAGCAACAACAACCGCGGCGCCGCTAGCAGCGCTAGTAACGATAACGCTAGTAGCACAGTGCCTACTAAAGTGCCTACTAAAGTGCCTCCTACTAAGGTGCCTACTAAAGAGCCTACTAGAGGGCCTACTAAAGAACCTATAATCGAAGGGAATAACCTATCGTTGCCCGTTAACGACATTCTTAGCAATATTATTAACCGTCGATATAGCTAACTAGCCTTTAGGCCCTAGCTAGTAGCGAGACTTTAAGAAGCTACCTAAAACAGGCTTACTGCCTTGCGTTAAGAATAATAGCTAAAGGATAATCTCCTCGAAATTCGCCGCCTATAGGAAGCCCTAGCAACTAATACTAAGCTAATAGTAAGGCCTTCCTTACTATCCGTCCTAGTTTAGAAGAAGGATGCTAAACTTAAGGACTATACTATGTTTAATAGCTCTAGTCGAAAGCAATATAACGACTATATTCGTAACTATAAGCTTAACTAGCGAAACGTACCGAGGGCCCTTCTAGACGACTATTCGTTAGTCGTCTATACTATATAGTACATTAATAGCGACCTAAAACGCACCTAGGATAACTATTTTAACTCCCTTAATAATTAGACTGCTATTTAGTAGCAAGACTATAAGACTATTATGCTAAACACCCTTAGTAACCCTATATTGCGCTAGTAGCACGCCTAAGACTAATACCTACGTGCTAAATAAAAGGCCGACTAAACCTCTCGATCCTTCGAGGCCTATCTAAAGACCCTTAAGGACGATTTGCTACCTAAAACCGACTCTATCTAGATATCTAAGATACGACCTAAACTAAGATAGGAACTAGTCCTTAAATTAGACCTATTACGAAGGCAGGCACAGGCATAGGCTAGGTAGGAGGCCCTAGCCTACTATAGTATATACTTCTCTAAGCCTAGATAGACTTAGAATAATTATCTACTTTATAATATACGATATATAACAAAATGGTAGCTTCGCTTCGAGTACTAGCGTAAAACACGTACTAACCGTCTCTAAACAGACTATCCGAACTACGGTTTACTATTCCCCTCTCTAAGGCGAAAGTCCTCCGCGCCGAAGGAGAGTCCTAACGAACTACTCTAATACTACTTTCCGTACTATTAAACGCCGCAGCTATACTATAAGAAAGAGGCTGTAATTTAGTACGAAAATATACGAGACCTACTAGCGAATCGGTACGGAAATTAACGATAGACCTAGCCTAGCGCCTCGGCGCGCTTTACGCTCCCTCTATTAATACCCTTACTTACTAAGGGTAGGAACGACATTTCGGGTTAGTAGGAGCTAGGTACCTAACCCTCCTAACTTCCCTTTTAGGGTATAAGGATATAGAAGGTTCCGATTACTCTTACGGTAGCTACTACGTCTATACCTACGGTTAATATTAAGACGGTGCCCTATTCCGTCTCTTAGCGAATAACATCTACGTCTTAATATAGGAGCTTATAGTATTAAAGGACTAGGAATCTCCGAACGATCCGCCGCCTATAGCCTAGGAGGATTGCACTCTTCCTAAATTAAAGGAAGACAGATACTACCTAGTTTATATAGTATATATACTACTAGCCTTCTTAAAACTAAGGCAGTGTCTAAATAAGCTGTTCGAGAAGGATCTTAGGTATAGAGTTATCGCTATTACCGAGTAGTGCGAGGATCTAGAGGAGGCTAAACCTCTACGTCGCCTAAGGTTATAGTCCTATATTCCGGATATAAATAAAGACGCGACTCCTAAACCCTAGACACGCGCTAAGATTATTAGTTCGTAGGTTAACGACAACTCCCTATCGCTTTCCGCTATACGACAAGTATATCGTCTAACTTCGTACTAGTCGGATAGCCTATACTTCGCTTAGTAGCTAGTAGAACACCTTAAGTCTACTAACGAGAATCCGGCCGTAGGCGAGAATTAGCTACGTCGCTATAAGGTTTATATCCCTCTACGACTAGAGAAGTAGGGCGTCCGTCGCTTAATTAAGGACGAGAACTTAGGCTAAGCTAAGCCTAATAGACGTAGAGAGTCTTTTAAAATCAACCCGCTAACGGGTAACGTTTTTAAGAATTTCGGTGCCTTTTATAAAGACGACCCGCCTCCTAAGCCTCGCGAGAGCTTATTAATCTCGGTGTCTAGCAGTTCGATACTTAGCTTACTACCGGATTCCTAGCTAGAAGGAGAAGATATATCGGGCAAGTAGGCTCTAGGATCTATAGTACCGGCGAACGGTATAGCTAGCGCTAAATAGCGAGATAAAATTAGACAAATAAAGTCCTAGGTAGCTTAGTAGCTAGCCGAGCAACGTACTAAGGCAAATAATAATCGAGCTACGGATCGTATACGTCTATAGAGGGCACTAGACGAGTAGCGCGAGGCTTACGAGATCGAAATGTAGGCCTAAATCTAATAAGCGTTTAATAAAGGCCGTAAGGAGGCTATAAGAGCTAAGAACAAAAGTAGAGATAAGGGTGCAGAAGCTAGTAGAGTACTACCTCCGATAGCCTTAGAATAGCGCTATACTATCGATACGAATAGCATCCCTAAATTGTTCCTTACCGACGAATAGCGACGGCGAAGGAGGAATACTAAGTCTGCTAGGCACTTTAACGACGAGGTTACCGCTAATAATAACGCTACTACTAATGCTAATACTAATGCTAGGAATAATAGGAATAATAATACCTCCGCTAGCGCTAATAACGACAATACTAGATACGATAAGCTAGAGATATTAGTAGGAAAACTAGTAGAGGTAATATAGTCTAATAACGCCGCCTTAGCGGCCCTACGACCGAATAATAACTATTCTAGGCTACCGGGGTAGTAGCGATATAGAAATCTTTACGCGATACGTAGCCGAACTAGCTAAGGTACGACTAGAGCTAAGTAGCTAGCTAATTAG